CTTAAACCAATATTATTGTTCAGAAGCTGTCCCAACACAGGTAAACAGCTAAGTAAGCTAGATAAGAAATCAACTAAAAGTAATAAATAGCCAACCAACATTAGAATCTTTACTACCTCGTTGTTGATGTGGCGGATTAAAACGGCATCGGATCAAAATGAAATTGGAGTCTTTTTGGGCTCTCTTTTATATTTTACTGCTTCTTATACTCTTTTGTTAACGAGAATCTCAAAAAAAAGAGGCCTGGAAATTTGCTCCCTCCCCCCCAAAAAATTTTTTCTTAACGTTCCATAGGACCGCACAATTGTGGCGTGAACACCCTTATCTTTGTGTGCTTACTCTTATTCTCCTTGTTATCTTCGGCTGTCGATCTCTTGCAGACATGAGCAGCACATCGCACGATAAACGTTTTGAATTGAAGGGAATCTAGGAAAGTGGCCAGAAAGAACCCTTAATCGACATCATGCATGCATCACAGAAAATAGAATGGGGCTACCGTTATATTCGAAGTCATTCTTAAGTCTAAATGGGCGTCACGAGCTGGCGTAATGATTATGCGGAATAGTGGAAAAAAAAAAACGGATAAAAAATTTTTTTGCGCACCTGACTTATTACATGGAGCTTATTTTAACAAAGTTTTATACGAAGCGCACAATAGTAGAAAGCGAGGTGACAATCTCTCCTAACAAATAAGGATAAGACTGTAACATTTGTTTTGACTTTCACTAATCTTATTCGGAAGGAGTAATAATAAAACCAGGTTCATTGCAGACTGCACCAAGTTGTATCCCTAAAACCTGTCTCGTCTCTATATCAAAATTTTTGCAAAGAACTGTTATTTTTATCACCAATCGCATGTGCATGCAGTTCCTTTATTGATCAGTTTTAACATGCCGATAATGCATTGATTGACACAATTACGTCAGTGTCATTTGTTTCTCCACATTGTCTGCATAATATGACAGCCGAAGAGGATGCAAGGGCACGGAGTAACCGCACAAGGGATTCGGGGAAGGGGAGTGGGGGAGGGAATGGGAATTGGTGCAGCAACGGATGAGATAATGTGAGTGTGAGCAAAGGAAACAATGAAAGAGAACAAAGAATAGACGACATGCAGAAATGACAGCGTTTTATACATTTCATATTTATAGGTAACAATTGATGTGATTTCTGCAATGCATACATGCACAACAATAACAATTAAACAATAATAATAAATAACTTTTATAGTAGGGGAAAGGATGAGTTTCCAACGTCCATTCAAAGAGGGAAAAGGTCAAACAAAACAACAGAAACAAACACAGGGTGATGAAGGACAACCTGCATATACGATCAGAAGGGTCATTTACTTTATTATGTGTGGAGTTGCTGCACAATACGCACAGCCTTCATCACTACAATAGAAAATTCGGATAATGGGGAGGGGGTGGAAATTCCTTCGTACGCTGGTTGTTTTAACTTTCATATTTTTATTATTATATCTCACTTGTATGCCCTTGGGTCCCCTTTCCCCCCCACTTGGTATGACGTTACAAACAAGCAAGCATGAGCCATCTGTTTGTCTTCAATCCAAGACAAAGCTTGTAAAGAGCCGGCTTATTTTTCCATGTTACCGACAAAGATTAGATTTATTACCAATGAGAACATCAGTCCCACTATAAAGAAATTTACCGCCCATTCAGCGTAAAAACCAATGACAGGCAATTGCCGATAATGGATGAGACAATACGTTATTTTGTGGACAATGCTCGCAATTTTACTGTGAATAACTTTAATGAAACAAGTTAACAACTGTGGTACCCGAACAATTTGCAGAGTGCACCACAACGTTTTATAAAACATACGACCCCTAAAATTTATCGAATTTGGCAAAATCAAGTTTTAGGGTGTTTTCCCCACTATAGCAATAGAAAGATACCGGTGGGATATTTCTTTATGAATTTCAAAATGCGCGTGCTTCCAAAGCTTACAAAGCAGAAATACGTCACGGGTCTGGGAAGTGAACAATTCTAGCAATTATGGTTAATCCAATTTTTCGGGTAAATAGTGAAAGAGCGATGAGAGTTTCCACGATCTTATGAGACACAGACATCTTTGAGAGACTGCATCCTTGTAATTCATGCCAGCCATTTCACTAGACAACAACAATCATGGCTTCCATTTTCCCGTTCGATAACTACAGTATTAGCGTGAACCAAACGGAAGCATAAAGAGTGACCCCAATATTGTGGCGTTGGATTTCTACCCCTACAATATCATGTGGCGTCATCTTAACTTGTGTTTTTTTGTTGTAGTGTATGCGTTCCCAACACATAAACACATACACACACACACACACATAACAATAACAATATCACATTCAAAGAAAATTTTTCATCTACAGCCACAACAAAAAAAAAAACTGTTCACCCTATTACAGTGTGTTTGGTTGACATATAAATACCCTACAGCATCCTGTTTACTACAGACTATACGAACACATCGCACGACACTGCATATAATTTTTAACTGCTTAAACTATTACCTTTACTTTACTCATTAAATGCCCGTATTCTCAAATCCGCAATCTACCTCCCATGATCCCCACAATTCAGCCGATAAGTGTGCTTGTGTAGACGGCACATGTCACGATCCAACCCACAAACATAACGCAGAAGGACAGAAGAGGGGCGATTTAATTAAGAAAGAACAAATCGTACAAAAGAGAAATCAGAGACAATCACTTACCACCGAAATATCGAACGTAAGGTTATGGCCGAGTACCACCTGCTCATTGTATTCGGGTTCGAGGTTCAAAGGAGAGCAGCGAAGTGGGAGAAGTAGTTATGAGGTGGCTGTACATATTCAGGTATTGTATTCATTATAGAAAGGTGGAAGTAAAGACAAGGAGAGAGAAATAATAGGTTCGAGCTTGGGAAAGAAAATGGCGGGAGGTCCATGTATGGGACAAACCTTGGTACGCATATCATTATGAGAGTGTTAATGAAAACGGAATCAGTGTGAAAACATTGCAATTCGATAGATGAGTATATAATTTATATAGTTACAGAATATATAGAAAAGGTCTGTTAAAAGCAAACAACTTTATATATTACACTAACCCTGATTACCTACATCGGCATCACTATACATAAATATTACTCAGATCCGTTCTCTCCAGTCTTACCCACTTTCTCACCAAAACGCACATTATCACTCGCAACAATATTCACTAACATAAACATATTAATTACTATATCAATTCCGATGAAACAACATCATCAGCACGTAAACCTTGCAGAATCTTCTCTTTGTGGGTATCTCCATATCAAAGGTCTTACCGAGGATTATCCCGAATTGACTACATTCTTTGAAGCCGAGATTATCGGAAGGAAACATAGTTTTCTAACAAAGAAGTGGGATGCCAATGATCACATTGATATCCAACATTGGGTAAGTGGTTTTTACCAAAAAAAAAAAAAAATAGAGCTGAAGGGGATAAAGAAGAAAAGAGGATGAAAATTAGTGGACAAAAGTTATGTAATAGTGGATGGTCTTGTTAAAAATTTGTACAAGGCGTAATATAACAAAATAATTTTAGAAAGCTAGGAACACACAAAAAAAAGTCTATTTGAAAGAAAAAACAAAAACAAACAAAAAACCTCAAATTTTCGCAAAAGTTGGGAAACTAATGTTTATTCGCAGCCGCTTATCTTATTTATCCTCCTTATCATTCTACGTTCTTCCCTATGTAGACTCGCTTCCCAGCTTTCCGACCAATCCAAAAATCCATGAAACTCGACGGCTTTTCTTATGATTTCCATAACAAAGACTTCATTTTCATGCGATGGAAAGAACATTTTCTTGTACCAGATCATAGAGTCAAAACTATAAATGGTGCAAGTTTTGCTGGGTTTTACTATATATGCTACCAATCTAGCACTGGCGTGATTACTGGGTTCTATTACCATAAAAATTCAGAGTGGTAAGCGGATTCCTTATTCGTGGTTATGGAGAAAGCGTGAACATGCGCATGCTGTTGTTATGAGACGACAGGATTGGCAGGATTGTCAGGATTAAATGCTACTTGGCTTTTTCCCTTGTTATCCAAACTTGCAGCTTGCCAAAAAAGAAAGTTTCTAACCAAATACTTGTTGCTCATGTAGGTTCCAAGAACTCAAACTACGCCATTGCCCAGACAATTCGTTTCCATCATTCGAATTTCGATGAGCAGTGTCTGCATTCGGATCAAAGGTTTATTGTCTTCTGTTTTTCTTTCTCTTTCTTTTCTCTTGTCTTTCTTCTCTTCACCCCCAACTCCTTCTGCTTCTGTGCTCTTCATGGTCGCTAGTATATCTTTGACGTACCATTTCCCGGTACGCCTTACCATATTTAGATAATAGTTGATCATGGAGAGTCGCGGGAAAAAAAAATATGGTATTTGCTTATATAGACTACACATGTACATTTCATATGATTTGCTATTTTGAAAAAATTTCTTCTCTCTGATTCAAGGACTATGCTAAGAGACATTTAGTATATATATTAGTAATAGTACTAGTAGTATTTTGCAGTATTTAGCTGCTTTAACCTTTGCTTCGTCAATATGCCGCAGTTAATATAACTAAAGTGCGACTTATGGTTACTTAAGTATGCTTCATGAATCAATATTCATGAAAGTATTGTGAATATAAGTTCAAAGACGACGCAATAAGTTGTATTCATCACCAATCAGTGTATACGATACGACACATAGACAACTAGAAGAATGTGTCACGTATCTCAAACTAGTTGGTGAAATATGATCACGAGATGTGATTACTGTAAGATAGTCATTCTTATTTATACAAGTGAATAAATAAAGACATTAATATATGATAAATGACACGTAGCACTTCTTTCCCCTACAAGGAATTGTGTTTGAGCTTAAATGGAACACCTTTATCTTACAACAAGGGGGACGGCCATCGCTTTAAAATTTACAAGTCACGTTTCAGTCTTTACTAGTAGCATGACTATCACGTGAATCAATTTACTAAAGTAAGAACGATGTTATAACCTCGAACGAAGTTGTAAACCTCTTGCGCACGTTTTTCGTATCGCATGTACCCTGAACGTGAAGATGCTTATGTTCACTAAAAAGGTAGTTGTTCCCACAGTCCTAAAAAGTCAAGAAATGGCACACAACATGGAATGTTAAAGGCGAAGATCTACTTGATTATAAGATGCAAAAGTATCCGTCCCTTCTAATTCGGGATAAACGTTTTGAAAAAATAATGTATAAAAACCTGATCACTTGTAAAGTTTCTAAACATCAACGTTTTTATTTTGACATATTAATACCTCCATAAGAATTCAAAATTCCATGATTCCTACATTCTATATAATTTGTATCAAAATGTAAATTTGGCTGAGATAAACACAGCTATCATTATAACAGTTATATATGTACTAGCCCGTAGCGAAATCCGAAATCGGGCTGGCAATAAGCACATTTTATTTCGCTATTACCACATAAACAATGTTGGTTAGGTGTCACTTATTGGTTGTGATATTAGATGATGTGCCTATTGCGAAACGGGCTGGATTGCGCTACGGGCCAGAACATATATTTCATATAGGCCACGTTTCAGAATTCTTTCATAAAAGTGGCATATTTTTCTTCATCCCGTGACAGGTTGGCAATTAATTCTTGGCGAGCCGCCTTCTTATCAATTAAAGTATCTTGTGTTGTTGGAGTGTTTCGCGAGATACGTTAAGAGGAATGTCATCGACGTCAATGATGGCACGAATAAATTGGAGATATAAAACTCGATTGACAAACGACTTGATGTCCGCTTGGAATATAAACAATCAAACGAAAGTCTACCTCACCTTCAGCCGACGAAATAAAAGTAGACGTATATCACACATTGCACTCACAACTTTACTCTTCCAGATATATTGCTTGTCAGTTATTATGCTTGCTTATAACAACGACTCGATCAGTTACTAAGAATACGGAATACAAGCAGACACCGAATTGGCCGATCAAGCTCATATCTGCTTTCCTTTCTTCACCGCGTATAGAAACTCTAATGTGCCCGATTTAGATATAATCCCGAGGTTTTCCTTTATATGTTTTGTCATCCCGGTCCCCAAATCCCAAATGATTAGGATACGGCTTGGGTTGGCTTCTACTGTTGGAATTTGCCGAAATGTATTTTACAATAAAGTAAAATGCGGATTTGTTTAGCAGATTTCAGTACCGTTTGATATTAATACACGAGGAAATACTTACCGCGTTTTATACAAGAATTTATTATAATCTTTATCAATCTACTCACTTCTGTCTGCAGTATATAGTTAAAAACTATAAATTATTACGTGTTTTAAAATTGCGCGCGTATTCTGTTCGTGAGTAAACAACAATCAAAAATTTCAGTCGTAATATAGCATCTGATTTCATAAGTCTCTTTTCTGTTGCTTTCAAGTTATCGGCTGAATTATCCTGTACTTTCATCAGCGTTAACGAATAAACAGTCGAAGGAGACCGTATCGTGCTCGCGGCTCATGAGCTCAACGAAGCATGGCGTCTGGAACTCGAAAGAAGAAAGATAGAGCTTGAAGCTCTCCGACTCGAGGTAACGACTTTGTGACGCGCGTTGAAGATGTGTACGTAAGTAGAGTAGATATCATTGTGATAAAAAGATAATGAAATTTAAATTTGCACTAGAGTAACATAGAATAGGTTATACTCATCAATGGCTTTGGATCCAAGTATTTTCCTCCCATCACCATGCAATTACTCTGATGCTTTTATTGAATTTATTATATTTGAGAGTGATTGCATTTTATATTTATAACAAAGTAACAAAATTATGTTTACGAAATTGACTCATCAGTGTGTAATTTTGATTCTTTAGCTGCAATCGTGTAAGATAGTGAAATGCAAATAAGGTTTAACAAATACATTCAAAAACTTTATCAACCCGTAATGATCTTTTGCTGACAAGCTACTTGAACAGTGGAAGCATTGGTGGGATCTGATTTCCCAATTCTTTGGTTCTATGATAAATTTGATGTAAATTAGTTTCATATTTATATACTTTATATAGAGATAGCTTTAAATAAAATGTATTGGTATTGCTGTTGTAATGATAGTTGCTGGTAAATATTTATTTTAACAAGTTTATTATTACTGGTTATGTTTTGATGTCCAAATTAATACAGATTTCCATAATAATAAATTCAGACATGGACCACAGTTGTGTCATTAGTACTAAATCAAAGCTTAAAAGATCAGTCAATTTTTGAGCCACAG